AGAAGAAGAAGAAGAAGAAGAAGAAGAAGAAGAAGAAGAAGAAGAAGAAGAAAAGCAGCAGCAGAAAACATTCTGCAGAACTCCAAGTAACAGTCTAAATTTAATGAAAAAGTACTGATGTGGGCGAAAATGTTGAAAACAAACATAGATTAAGATGTTCATGGGCCAGGGAGATGGCTCAGTGGAATAAGCGCTTCCCTGACAAGCACAAGGGCCTGAGTTCAATCCCTGGTTCTGCAAAAAAAAAAGAAAGAAAAGAAAAAAAAAAAGATGTTCAGCTAAAAAAAAGGTTTATGATTCAATATTTTATCTAACTTTCATTACTGAAAGTCTTAAATGCAACAGTTTTTACACTGTCCTTTGAAAATGACAGTTGCACCTCTTCAAAAATGTCAAAACTTGGGGCCAGCAAGATTTTAGGCAAGCTTAGGCAAGCCATAGGGACCACAGTTCAATCCCCAGGCACTACATACCACGCCAGCACTGCCCCAGCGCTGAACATGTATTATTTAAAATATGAAAAACTTTTCCATCAGTAAGCAAATAAATAATATGTAACACTCATAGGAAAATATGGCATATGAATTACACTTAACTGAACTGCAGTTGTTAATATGTAACCTTTTAACTGGCATTAAAAGGCTGTATGGTATAGGCACTAACCCTGATGAATCACAATGGAAACCCCTGGTGGAATGTAGAATAAGATACTATATTATCTACTAGTTACAGGTCTTATTAAAGTAATTTTTTAGGTACTTCATAAAAGTAAAAATTAGAGACAGTAAACGGAGTACAATCAACAGCGAGACATTTTATCATGTAATTAGGCCCTTTTAGGTTTTTTTTATTTCTCAGTATTTAAAATCAATAATAAAATCTAAAAGGCCTTTTAAAATTCTGTATTAATAATTCAAATAAAAATTTGCTTTCACATGCTAATAAACTATCAATGAGCTGGATTGTTTGATAAGTTATTTCCCAGTATTCCAAAGCTGAGCTCAAGTTCTAAGTTGGCAAATCCATATTAACACAAAATCAAGAGCAAAATCAAATGTAAAAACTAAAACCGTAGCAATTTCAGTGTTTTAAAATTTTACTTAGCATTACTTAGCACAAATAATACTTAGCATTACACACAGCTATTCAAATATAAGAACCTTGTACATATAGGAGTTTGATAGGAACATAGTTTATTGCTTGCACTGAAAATGTTGTAACACAGAATTTTTTTTTGAGGGGGGCTGGCTCAGGCTGCCATAAGGGCGGGTCTGGTAAGGCATGAGGAACTGGGGATTGAACCACAGTATCCTGTGCCTGAATGCGTTTGCGTAAGTAGGCTCTTAAACAACTGAGCTAACCAGAAGGCCCCCCCAAGAATGTTGCAACATAAACACAGCAATAGCGGGCTGGGAAGATAGCTCAGTAGAATAAGTGCTTCCCTGGCAAACACAACGGCCTGAGTTCAATC